TCAATTGTCGTTTTCGTGTGCTCGAGGAGCACTTTTAAGATGGCGATAAAACTGTTCAACTAAACCATTTGATGCTGGGTGGTAAGCGTTAGTGTTTATGCGTTCCGTATAATGCAGCCAGATCAGCGAGGAGAAGAATCCCGACTCGAGCTGTTTTCATCGGTCAGTCTTGACTGTCAATGAAAAACCGTATATCTCTATCCATGTTTCAACGAAGCGGTGAGCAAGTCTCTCCGCCTTAATAGACGTGATGTGGTTAGCTTCTAGACATCTTATGAAACAATCGATGCACGTGAGTATGTGATCATACAAGTGCGATGGTGGCAATGGTCCCACAATATCTATACAGTTGTGCCAATAGAAGCAGCTACGTGCCTGTACACTTTTGATCGTTGACATTGTAAGTTTCACCAATATACGGACATCTTTATTCATGGATGGCCAGACGTATCGTGCAGCAATGAGGCGTAATGAGGCTGCGATATCTGGTTGAGACAGTCCATGCAGAGCATCGATAACGAGTTGACGGTGGATCGAGGAAGACCGTTAGAATTATCACATAGGATAGTACCGGAGCTAGCCACTTAGGGTACTTCAGGGCACTGAATTGTTATAGAATGTTGTGCTTGTGTACAGGAAGAATGGCTTGCTTGGTCGGCCGCCGTAGCAGGAAGATCAAGTACCGTTAATGTATCTGCATCCACTTGGATACATGACAGAGCAGTATAATTCGACTCGCCCTTAATGTGACGAATGTCTGTCGTTAACTGAGACGTATAGTTCAAACGTCTGTATTCTCTTTGTGAGTAGTGGTCAGACATGGTATGCAGAGCTTACGTTAAAGGCTTATGGCCGGCAAATAGGATGAAATGCCGGCCATCTACCGCGTGCCGGAAATGTATGATGCCACATTAGGCTGCTAGCTCTTCTGGACCAATAGCACTATATCTCGTCTCCATGGGAGGGAGGCGTCTTGAGAAAAATTCGATGGGTTGCCTACTTCCGGAGATGTTCGGTTGCATAACGGCTCCTATAGCGAAATCCGATGCACCATCGTTCAATTCCAATTTGCATGGATTACCGCAAAATAAGTCGGTTGATGGTCGTAACCGTCCTGCGGCATGTGGGGTGAAACGTAACGCAAAACAATAATCAAAAAGGCGGCCACGACTGATCGGAAAGTACATGTAATAACTTTAACATATCTGCTTTCATACGTAACGTGCTTAAAATGAAAATTTGCATGAAAATTATATATACGTCAATTATGGCGCGATTATAACAATGAAGAACGATTTAGCATAGAGATATTTTAACAAGCCACATTAGTAAAATTTGGTTAACGGCTAAATTTGTATGCCGTATAATTGATTTCAAATTGTTTGGTTTTATTCTTAATACATGATAAATAGAAATGTACGTGAAGATTATATATAAGTTGAGCAAAGTGGGACTATAAGAATTAGGAATACTACCACGTACAGATATTTCAATAAGTCGTCGTAAGATGCGTAGTAATAACCGTTGGTGAATAACTTAACCTGTAGTTGGTAAGTATTTTGTGTTTAGAAATATTAAAAACAATCAATATTGTAAAAATGTTAATATTGGTGTTATTTCGGTTAAAATTACTAAGTCAAATGATGAATATGCCGGTGAGCTGTCCAGATGAGTTGGTTTCCGGTTGAATCTGCATTATTATATTTATTCGGTATATTTAGTATGCATAAGAAAGTTACACCAATTGACTACACCTTCAGCACTGAGCTATGTCATCCGACTAATTGTATTTCGAATGAATGTTCCCAGATTTATTATCATAGACCTTCTCTTAGTGATAAATCGTGAAAATTTATTTTCTCAGTTATCTCGTGTTCAACAATCTGATTGTACAACGTGCTTATTACGTAAAAATACCTCAACTCGGACACAATCACGCTCGGTGTGTCAACTCCCACAAAACGCACATCTAAGCATTGGTGTCCGCACCTTCAATCGACTCTTTCAAAAGAAGACTGGACACTCACAGAAGCATACCAGAAAGGGAATAACATAGGCCATAGGCCTTCTGTCCTTACTATGCAAATCACAATCTGAAATCAAAGAGCAAAAACATAAATAAGCTTCCACCTTTTTCATTAGGATAGGCTACTACATCTGAGAAAAATCTCCCGCTCTTGAAATTCAAATTTCCCCTCAACTATTTTCCACATTTCATTCAACTAAATCACTAAACGATATTCTGAATGCTGAGGTAACAGAAACCTTGCTGCCATGACTCGAAGTGACCAATCGAAATTAGGTGATAAATAAAACGACAAATAACTGTACGGACGACTAGGACTGGTACAGCCAAATGGCTAGAATGAAAACTATTCAACATTCCTAGATACCTGAGACTGCAACGAAACAACACGTGACGAATCAGAAGAAATCAGTAAGTTTAAACAATTCCATCTCAAAAATAGAAGTTTGAAGCGAAAGAAGTATGGATATAACTTTTAATATGAAGCAGTTACACATGTTACTTCTAAAATATCAAGGCTGTCTCCATCTTTGTACGGACAATGAGGGTTGTAGTTCTGACCTCGCATGTTCATTGTTTTATTCCGTCCGAGGGGGAGGCGCAATTTGATCCTCAAGAACATGGCGGAGTATTTAGCATCGATATTTGGTACGGAAAAAGATAAGTAGGATCGCCTTTTTGACTTATTTGTTGGTACAGAGTAAACTGCTCGTTCTACTTTAAAATCGGTGCATGCCGTCACGGAGAGCAGTGTTCAAGGCTACATAACAAACCGTCATTCGGCCAGGTAGATTTGGTTTTCAACTTTTTTATGCATAGACAATTTTGCTGCAAAACCTGTATATAGCTCCTCAAAATACAGCGCAAAGTGCTGATGGCTCACACAGTAAGCTACATCGTGTTTTTCTGTTTTGTATTTCATGGAGAACTAATTATATTCAGGCACGACTAATGTGATGTTTATGCCTGTCTGTCATTAAATGTTTTTCTGCACTAGCATTTAGATGTAGAATAAACCAATGGGTATTAGATCATAAAGATGAGCAAAAATGACGATTTCTAGGTACACTTCTAAACCGTTATCAATGTTTGATCGACTTTAACTTCAGTGCGGATGACCGATAAGACTAAGTAGGCCAGTGCTGTTCATTTATCAGGGATGTCTGTAAGTACACTTGTGTCTCACTAAAATCCTATTCGTTGATTTGGTTGACTAGGCATCTAATCAGTAACTATGTGATATCAAGTCCCTTATAGATGACAAGTGTAGCAGTCAAGTAAAATTGCTAAAGGCGTTTATTTACAGTCTGAAATACGCTCGCTTTTACGGTAAGTGGGTATTCTCTCTCATTAGGAAGACAAGTGTATACTCACATCGAGTTTAGTTGATAAACGGAACTAGCTTACTAGAAATCTTGTTGCTGTTGCAATGATGTCTACAATAAAATACATTGTCCCCTAAACGTATTAGACATGAGACCTCGGCGATTTATTTTAGTGCACTTAAACAGTAACAATATGGTTTATGTTATCCAGACCCCAAGACTACTGACATTGATATAAACAGGGATTTGGTTGCTTTCCCTTGAATATACGCAGGTTTCATCATTGATAGTAGTAGAAATAGTTAACCTTTGTACTTGAAGGCATTCGGGATTCGACAGTTTCAAGTCTAGCTAGTTAATTCACAGTAATGCAAATAAGAGGTTGGACTGGCCTAATCTAGAGCTTCGGAAGATTTATTGAAGTACACTTACAACAACCATAAGAATTTAGTCAAACTTTGTGTCCTTCAAAATTGATAGCACAGTAAATGCAATGGTGAATATTTCATGTAAGATTTAGTTACCGGTGAAATCCTCGGGATGAACACAACAATCATAAGAGTGCGTCACAGGTGTTTCAGTTGTCAGTATTTAGCAGTGAACAAGCACCCATATACAATAATTAATGGTGGACCAGATGAAATATAAAGCATCCAAGCAAATCATGTCAGTCATTTATGGTATTTTGACAACTGGTATCCAGGCCTCATCCTAGAAATGGCAGATTTTGATCAGGTTGTCTACGTATTCTTGTGAGTTGGGTTTCATAGAACACAACTTGTTTCTAAGTTCTCTCTGTCCAACTGGTGAAAAGAAATCCGGTAGCCCTTAGATGCGTTAACTACCAGGACCAAAACAATGCTTTCAGCTATAAGCAACCATGAAGCTTTTTAGGCATCTTGACAACGGTCGTTTTAGCCATGCTAATCACTGGTTTTATAAAAATTCCTAACTCATTGAATAAAACGTTTTTATCTCCTTGAAAGTCAACCTTACAGAAGTTCAAGCTCAGCAAATCTTTGACGAATTTTTCGAGGAGGTCTTTGTTGAATGTGAGGAGAAGGTAAGTTTTTGTGTAATACTTTTATGGCTTTTAGTATGGGGAAATAGAGGAAATGAATGTATGTGATAATCTCGGTGATCATCTAGTTGGAAACGTTTATATCAAAGTAAGCTCAGGGTGATACATCGTACGCATTTATAGTTCAGACGTGAGGAAGATGCTGAAAAAGCTGTCCAGGATTTGAATGAACGCTGGTTTGGTGGGAGACCTGTTCATGCTGAGCTCTCACCTGTCACAGATTTTCGTGAAGCATGTTGTCGTCAGTATGAACTGGGGTAAGGTTTTCGTAATTTTGTTAGTACTGTTAATAGTCATTTAGTCTTTAGTCTTACAGGGATTTTCAGCGCGTTGTAAATTTGTCATGAGTTCCCTCATCAAGTGATGTTCCATACATTTTATTCAAGTCGTATATATTACTTACCAAAAGTCGATTAAACTAGTGGTTATACTTATGTTTTTCATGTGGTTAACGGGCTGTAGTCGTTTTTGACTTACGATGCTCCTATCGGACTCAGCTAGTATGGATGGATTTAGTTGCCTTTTATGAGATGGTATGATCTATACTATCTTCCTCTAGCTATAAATTAATTGAGATCATGAACAGGTTTATGTTAGACCGACATTGAAAACCTGGAAACACTGGGCGGCCGTTATGTCCTATTATGGGACTTCTCCGCGGTGCGCATCCACAATCACGAGATTCTCGTTACATATTAGCAGCAAATACCCGATACAATTGTGTCCAGGTTCCATAATGATTATGACTAACTGACACAAACGTCCCACCAACGTGAACGACAATTTTTACTTGGGAGGTCACAAATAATGCAGAGTTGTTTAATTAGAAGTTAGTATTCTTGTTCACATTATGTCTCTTTCTATCTAGGTTTTTACTTAGATTGTGTATTCTACTGAATTCCTAGTTTACTGAGTCAAATTATTAATTACAAGGTTGTGTTTCCGTCTCATTTCCTCCAGAGAATGTACAAGGGGTGGTTTCTGCAACTTCATGCATTTGAAACCCATTTCGAGAGAACTTTGTCGTAAATTATACAATCGCAGCAAAAAACGTTACGGGAGAAGACGCCGATCACGTTCTAATTCACCGTCCAAGAATCGATGTTGCCGTTCAAGGTCAGCTGGTCGTGTGTCAAGGCGTTAGCTTTTCTTCTGCGTGACGTTGTGCATAATTTACTTTTGTTCTTTGTTTATGGTTTTACTTCTGTGAACTGTCACGATTCACATGAAGTGATAGGAAGTCCATTAGAGCTTCATGAAGCGTTTTACGGTGTACTAAATATACATCTTTTAACTGTAATTCTCTTTATCCTGCTGTACGTTTGTTAGAACGACAAGGCGTCTTTAGTTAACCACTAATTGGTTCCCGATTATTCATGATTTTCTTGCTCGATAAACAGTTGAATAAATATGACACTAGCTTCCATTTGTCAACGTTACATGTGGTAAAAGTGACATAAATACGCTTCACATTCGTCATATCTGAGATTGTAATCTCAAGATTTCACTATTGTCAAAAGGGATACGCCAATATTCTTAAAGTGGTCAAGGTCATAGATACTTTCTAAAGCTTATTAGGTTTGTTATAAATCTTAAAATCTAACTGCTCTGTGGGTTGTAGCCTGTTGTGCACTGAAGTTAATAGTTTATAAAGTCTAGCTTCATGGCTAGTCGAAATACTCTCTCGCAGTACTTGACCTAGATATTTTTAGTTTAGTAAAGAAAGTCCTGTGTACCTGATTGAGTTTCGAGTAGATTCGCTTTCGTAGTTTTCAGGTTTCGCGTAGGACTTTGGGATTCCTCTACGAGCAAACTTCATTCCTGTACTGTCTTTTTGCGAATAATTATGTACAGCGAAGGTCGTGGTACTTTGACAGGAGAACTGTGTATCGGATTATCCAAAGAAGATGATTAAGGTGATAGGTCAGGGTTTATTTTACACCCAATAAAATACCTGGTACACTCATTCTTAGGCTCTAGATCCGACTGTTGTAATGTCAGTCAGCTACAACGTAGGAGCAGGCACATATGTGCATCGGTCCAGGTTGCCATACCGCATCATCACAACATGATGAACACCGGATTCATAGCAGTGGTTAGGTCAAAGGTGGTAATATATAAGAGAAAGATTGCATATAGAGATATAGTACAAGAAGAAAGAATTGGTTCGTAGAAAGAAAGATATGAATTGATTTTAATCTCTTAGTTTAAGGGAAGACAGGGAGTGTATACACCGACGCCATTGTGATCGATTCTGAGCCATGTCACCAAGAGTCTCCAACCATTGGTTACGACAGTCACGCGGACCCCAACCAAGTAGTCTGCATCTACCAACATGGCTCAGACTAGAAGTTAGTGACTTCAAGCACTGATGCCACGTTTTGGTTTGGCCGCCCCTAACTTTCTTCCAACCATCTCCAATACTTGATAGCATTGCACGTCGTGGTAATCGGTGTTCAGGCATACGTAACATGTGGCCCAACCATCTCAGTCGATGAAGATTCACAACCTCATCAACTGATTTACCATCATTCCCTAATACCCTGCGTCTAATCTGGCTATTACTTACCCGGTGATCCCGAAAGACGCCAGCAATATTTCTAAGGCACCTGTGGTCAAATACTAGTAGCTTACGGGTGTCTTCTACTCTTAAAGGCCATGTTTCGCTGCCGTAAAGTAAAACAGAACGGACTGCTGCGCAGTATAATCGTCCTTTGATTGATAGACGGATATTTCGCCTTCACCAAAGGTGACGTAAGTTGGAAAAAACCAAACGAGCTTTTCGAATCCGTGCTGAAATTTCATCAGAAAACAACCCATTAGGGCTGATCAGACTTTCAAGATAAGTGAAGTTGTCAACGCGTTCGACTACTTCACTCCCTATCCTTAGTTCAGGTGTTGACGCAGACCAGTCCTGAAGCAACAACTTGCATTTAGAGGGAGAGAAGCGCATTCCAAACATTCTGGCATTGTTGCTTAGTGCTACCAGAAGACTCTGCATTTTGTCAGCGTCTTCACCAAACAGGACTATGTCATCTGCGTATTCTAAGTCGATAAGTGGACCTCCTGGAAGGAGATCAATACCCGAGAACTCAGTCGACGAGAAAGTTATTTCCATCAGTAGATCTATGATGAAGTTAAACAAAAATGGGGAAAGTGGACAGCCTTGACGGACACCACTTGAGGTTGCAAAAGTAGATGACAGTTCGCCATAAGCTCTGACTCGACTGGTAGTGTTCGAGTAAAGAGCCTTCACAAGGTTTATGTACTTCTGTGGTACGCCTTTCAATGACAGACACTGCCACAGAATCTCGCGGTCTACCGAGTCAAATGCTGCTTTTAAGTCGAGAAAGACCACCATTGTCGGACGCCGATAAGTATGCCTGTGTTCTAGAATCTGACGAATGGTGAATATGTGGTCGATGCAGCCACGACCAGGTCTGAAGCCAGCTTGAGTCTCTCGTGTTTGCAGTTCACGAGTCTTTGTTAGGCGTCTGATAATTATTGAAGCTAGTATTTTAGATATTATATTAGTTAAACTAATCCCTCTGTGGTTGTCACAGGATGATTTTGACCCTTTCTTATATATTGGGACGATAAGTGATTGTGACCAGTTAGATGGGATAACGTCTAACTCCCAGATCTTAGCTAAAATATTAGTCAACCTAATCGCTAAAATTGGACCACCATCCTTAAAGACCTCTGGAGCCAGTCCATCTGGATTAGCTGCCCTTCCTCGTTTCAGATTAACTATAGCCTTTTGAACTTCAGCAAGAGTTGGGGGACCTACTTCAATGTTCCATTCACACTGTCTGGGAATGGAGGGTAGTTGTAGAGTAGCTGAAGGCCAGCTAAACTGTTCTCTGAAATGTTCCGCCCATCGTTCTAAACGTCTGGACTGGGAGCAGATGAGAGTATCGTCTTTTTCCGATATAATCTCACTTACACTTGACTTATTAATTCCAGTTTCTTTTATTAGTCTGTAAAGCTGTCTTGTGTTCCCTATAGTCGCCGCCTTTTCCATCTCTTTTGCTTTCGTTACCCACCACTGCTCACGGTCGTTTCTTAGACTTTTTCTTAACCTAGATCTGATTTGTTGTCGCTCTTCATCATGTTCGGAACCTGATGGGACGAGTTTGCGAGAATCCATCAGTGTGATAGACTTTGAAGAAATCCATTGGTTCTTTGTAACCCTGTGGTTTAAATCACTGATAGATGTCACTGCTGTTTCCACAGCTGTTTGTATGGCTTTCCAAGCAACAACTAGGTCAACCTCGTCTTTAGAACTACCTAATCGTGGCCTCAGTTGTTCCTGGAACCTACTTTTGGTTTCCTCGCTACTCAGTTCGGTTCTAATGGGTCTTTTTACTGTGGCTTTTTTGCGTCCAGTGAGGCGCAAGCAGATGCGTGCCCGTATTAGGGCGTGGTCGGAGTCCAAGCAGGTACTCTAGAATGAGCGACAATCTTCTACCGACCCTCTCCAACGATGGCTGATGGCAATATGGTCTATTTGAGTCCATCGTTGGTTTGGTGTAGGGGGTCGCCATGTTAGACGATGTCTCTCCTTATGCTTAAAATTTGTGTTTGCTAAAAATAAGCGATTGTCTGAGCACAGTTGCAGCAGACGATCACCATTATCTGTTCGCTGTGCCGGAATGCTAAAATATCCACCTAAATGCCTTTCTGTTTGGCTTAAGCTACCTATCTGAGCATTAAAGTCACCCCCTATGAGTACTATGTCTGAGCGTTTAGCTTTCTGAAGAAGTTCAGAAAGCTTTCTGTAAAATTCATCTTTCACATCATCTGAGCTGCAGTCAGTGGGAGCGTAGGCAGAAACGACGAAAAGGCAACGACGTGTATCCCTATCCTTCCGAGTTCTTACGGAGCCGTTTAGCCGAACAGCACATAGACGACTGTTGACGGGGATCCACTCTAGCAGTGCTTGTTCCGCCCTCATGCTTAGTGCTATGCCTACACCTGCCAGTCCACGAGAACTGGCCATCGGGTCACCAGATACACGGAGGGTGTATCTCGTTGGCTCTCCGTTTTGCCGAGGTGAGGTCAAGTGAATGACCACACTGGAATCCTGTATGTGTGTTTCAGAGACACAGCACACATCAATGGAAAGAGACTCTAGGGTTTTAGCTAAGGAAGCCTGCTGACCGATTTGACATAGGGTGCGTACGTTGAAGGCTCTAATGTGTAGTTTGGAGCGAGGTTTCAGTAGACCTGGGACAGAGTTTTGAGCAGTAGAATCGTTGGCTATGGTGACACTTGAGGAGGAAGCCGAAAGAGGAAGTTTAGAGTTGAAAGTCGATGTAGGATGAATAATAGGAAGTGAAGACGGAGGTTGATTATGAATACAGTGGTCTTGAGTGCTGTTAGAGGTATGAGGGCGGTTATCACTTCCCGGTTGCCCACACCGTGGAAGGGTTCTTCTGGAGGTACCTGAAAAGGAAATTGGATTAGAGGTGGTCTCAGTGACCTGAGAGCGTGACCGCAGTGCCCAAGGGACAACTGCTTGAGGCCGGTCGCGCACGGCCTTTTCGTGGGAGGTTTTTGACGTGTTAGCTCCGTTCTTCAAAGGGCCTTACCGCCGGAGACGGAAATCCGTGAGGTAAGGTGAGGTGTGCATTTTTAGGGTCGACCTTTTCTAACCCCACCCCTCCTTGTGGGAAGGCAGCATCGCTGTCATGCTGGTTGTCTGAAGGAAACACCTTACTGCTGTCACACCTCTGTACAGTCAGCAGTACGACTTCGCCTTCGGACCTTGGGTTTGTTGCTTTTAGTCTTACCGCTCTTCAACCGACCTGTCTGACATGGTAGGACCTTGAGGAACGGTTGTTCCAGCCAGTATAGCTCGGTTGTTTCATCACGATAGGCAAGCCCGACCACCACGTCTAAGTAGCAACAACGGTCGGGAATGAACCTTTATTAATAACTTACCATATGATTTCAAATCTACAACGTAATGACACTAATAGTTACGTCCAAACGACTTACTTCCCAAGTAGTTAATGGTGAATAGTCGACCAGTTGTTTCCATTTATTTGTAATTGTGAATCATGGTAGTGGCAGTGGTTACTTAGGCTTTGCTTATGGCTATTACTTTTGTGAACTTCAGTGGGACCATTGGTTCACTGTATTTCTCTCAGATGCCGAAGAACCTGTCCGGGGTTATGGTCCTGTTGACAATATGGAGTCTCAAAATGCGACTCAATAAAAAAAACAACATTGACTTGAGGTGGATCTAAGATCAATCTTCGGCACCTTTCCGCCACATTACTTTATTAAGTTT